TCATTCATATACGTCGAGGTGGGTTGATATTATTTCATAGGTTCTAAAGTATTCCAATGTTGCTCTTTTTTTTTGTTAAATAGTGAATGATGTATCAGTCTTGAAGGAAAGAAGAGTCACATTTGCTCTCGTGGTCGCGTGGAGTACATTCACTGCCCTAACTGTGGCAAATATTGTCCTAAGGTGATTCTTATCTTTCAGGACCCTATTACAATTGTTAGATTTCTATCACATATACAAATGAAATTACTTATTGTCCAATTGACTTATTATGATTACTAGGGTTGAATAGATTAAAAAATACAAAGTTTTAGTAATAGAAAACAAAAGGTAGCATCTTTGGATTTCCTTCTTTTCATCACCCTCTAAATAATTACTTTTTTGGATTAGGGAACGTCGATTGATACTCTAATTGTTTGTTCATCTATTTGCAGGGATTGTTGGTCAATTATTGGCGATTTGTTGTTAAACATCGATACATATGTAACATATTGAGCACCACAAAACTTAATGCTTGATTCTCATTAAAAGACTCCAATTGCTTTGTATAACCAGTAATTTTAACAAATTTATACTTCATCTATTTGATTGTGTAACGTCCCAGAAAGAATGACATAATTTTTTTTTTTAAATTAATACATATCATTTCCATAAAGCTATGGTTATCAAGATTTAGTAAAAGATTATAGAATCAGAGTAAATCACAAAATGCTGAAACATGTGGTGTGTGCCCTGCAACCATCCCGGGCTATTCCATTTGAAAACCGAAGTACCTGAAACATAAACTAAAAACTGTAAGCTCAAAGCTTAGTGAGTTCCCCAAGATACATTATACCATACATAATTAAGCACATAATGGGCCCGCCCCAATAAGATACGAGCCCCGTCCACACTTGCATATTACTAAGATACGGGTCCTGCCCACACTCGCACAATATTGAGATACAACCCCGCCCACACTCGTATAATACTGAGATATGGGCCCCGCCCACATTTGTATAATACTAAGATATTATCCCCACCCACACTCGCATATCAGGCCCTGCCCTCTGAGATACAAGCCCTGCCCACACTTGCATACAAGCATATGATCCTACCAACACATGCAATAACCACACATAACTCATGGAAAACCCTGATCAAACTTATGGTTAAAGATAAATTCAACACTCCATATTGATCAAACACGTCGTGTTGCCCTTTGACACATCGTGTTCTTCCATCATTTAGATAATCGGGAAAACCCCAGCCAACATGTTGTGTTAGCTAGTAAACACATTGTGTTTTCCCAAATTCCAACAGCTTAATACATTAAGCTACTTTCTCCGATTCCAAGGGCTCCAAAGCTCATATCTAAACCAAAATGAGACTTAGACGGGCAAAGTTTCCATCTTTACCCATAAGGATTAGCAAAAATGGTCCAAACCCAACCAAAAAAGGCTTGATAGAGCAAGGGATTAACCAATAAGCACTTAATCCTTGATGACATACCCCTAAAACAAATATCTGACTTCCTTTAGTTAGAAAACCACATAAAGTTGCCAACTTTACATTCATGCATGTCTAAATGAAGCTCGTAAGCTTAAAAAGGACTTAACAAGGGACTTAATGCATGCATGCAACCAATTATCTCATAAAGCTTGCACCTTTATGCTTAAGGAGTTCAATACCAACTCATATATGGGATAACAAACCCTTAAACGTCTTCACTCTCTCCTCAACTCAAAAAGGGACCAAAAGCACAACAAAGCACAAAAGAAGATATCTAAACATATACAAGACAAGATGCAAACTTGATACCTCATAAAGCTTCCCCATAAGATGATAATTCTGGATCCAAAGCCTTTTTCCCCAAGCAAAGTAACGTCAAGATATCCTCTTCTTTACAAATACCAAAAATAAGCACCAAGAACCTCTTACTATCTCAAGAACACCACCAAGAGACTTAGGAATCGATTTTAGGGTTTTAGTGTCAATGGAGGCTGGTATGGAGACCAACCCTTGGGGCTTAAAGAGATTATATAGGGTGCAACATCCTAAAAATTACAACTAAATCAAAGTAGAAAACCTAAAACCCAAAAGAAAATCAAACAGTTGCTGGAGTATAATGTGGAACAGAGCACATAAAAGGAAAATACAAAGAATGAATAAACACTGAACAACACAAACGGGGCAGAATACCGCATTGTTCACGAATTTGTGAAGACCCATGAAGATGGTGTAGCCTCCAACTTTTAGTTTTCCTTTGAAGCAGAACATAGCCATTCCTACTTTATCCTATCGGCTTAAATTGAAAAGATTCAAAAGGTTTAATACAAAACCAACACGCTTTATCAATTGTGCCAGCATGCACCGATTCTTCCCCAAAAATGATGAAGTCAACAAACCTGATAAAATCCAAAACAAAACAATGAATTCGAGGAATAAATCCAAACAAAATCAAAGTGGAGAGTTACAAAATCGATCTCAGAAAGATGAAAATTGTGCCTGCAGAACTTCACATACCTTTAAAATCGAAGCCAAAAACCTCAAAATTTCGTGGATGAAACTGAGGAAAAAAAAATCGATGCGACTAAAATTGGAGTAACTAAGCGGTACATTGGATGAATTAGAAGAATATAGAGGAGAGACAGTCAGTGGATAATCCACCGTTCTGTAACCTTTTGATTGAAGAGTAATGACGGTGACAGATAGGTGTAAAGCGGTGAAGGTAAGATACAAACAACACGTGTTTACAAAAGAATATACAAAATGACAAAATATGACCCATAAAAAAAGACATAAATTTGCAAGACCGCATCCATAACCAAAGGACTAGTTTTGCCAAAAAAAATCATGATGTTCACTATTCCTAAAAGGTGTCTAACTTTAATAATAACTAGATGAGGAGCCCCGCATTGCGGGGATCGATCTAAACAGAAGTGATCGTTTTCGGTGTCTAGTGTTCATCGAATTGATAATATAATTTATTAAACTAACTTAGAAGTTCCGTGTCTTCAACATGAACATATTTTCATTGTAAGGGTAAAAATAAATAGTATATTATTATTATCTTTTCAATTAGTGGTGAAAAGTACATGTATGTCTACGGTAGAATGCTATGCTATTTTCATTGTTTTTCAGAAGATATTAAACAAGATATAATTTAAAAATAAATGAGTTTTTGACAATAAGGGTGTTTTTAAGAAATATAATTACTGTATACGTGTGGTTTTCAAAGTATTTAAGAGAGTTTAGCCATTTTAGTAAACAAGAAAAAATTACAATGATGCCCTAAGCCCTTAAGTTATGGGGAGTGGTCACACCCACCCCACCGGAAAAGTGATACTACATGTGTGTTATGTTAGTTTCACATCCAACTCACCACCAACGCACTAAAGACTGGAAATGATTACCACTCCACAATTTTTTTTTTTTGAATATTATATTAATTAAAAAGCATAATTTATAACATACATTAATTTATAAAACATAAAAAAACAAAGGCACATTTCATTAATTAAAACATAGAAATTTAAAACTTAAATTAGTAAAATTAAACATTACATTGTCTAAATAAAAAAAATAAAAAAAAAACATAGAAAAATTATAATCGTCGTCGTTGTCATCACCGGTATCATCCACCTCGTCACCACCATCGTCATCCTCTTCATCGTCACCATCGTCATCATCGTTGTCTTCACCGTTATTTTGCCCTTGAAATTGTCGTTCCCATATGTATTCTGTCAAATCATGTCTTAGATTGTGATGTGTTTCACGGTTTTGTATTTCCAAAAACCTTGAGAAGTATGTCGGACTGCCAACTTGTATTATTGCGGGTGGGTTAAGTATATCGTTTGTGGTATATGAGCAAATATCCCTACCCTCTTTTTCTATTATCATGTTATATAAAATAACACAATCAGTCAACACCGTCCTCAATTTTTCTCTATCCCATGTTCGTGTCGGATGTTTTATTATGTGTCACTTTTGTTTGAGTACTCCAAACGCCCGTTCCACATCCTTCCTTGCAGATTCTTGTGCTAACTTGAACATTTTCTGTTTATCGTCGGCCAGAAATGTGTATAACTTGACAAATATAGCATATTTTGGATATATCCCATCAGCTAGGTAATACCCATATTTGTATTAATTTCCATTGACAGCATATGACATTTCTGGTGCTTTACCCTGTAAAATATCATTAAATATCAGAGACGCTTGGAGCACATTCAAGTCATTGTTTGACCCAGCCATATCAAATAATGCATGCCAAAACCATAAGTCATTTGAAACCATCGCCTCCAAAATAAGAGTCGGCACCCCATGATCACCTCGCGTGAACTGGCCACGCCACACATTGGGACAATTTTCCTACTCCCAATGTGTACAATCAATGCTACCAAACATCCCTAGAAAACCATGTTTCGCTTAATGCGCGACATACAACTGTTCGACATCGCTTTTAGTCGGATGTCGCACGTATATGTCACGATAAAGCTCTATGACATACTCACAAAATAAATATGTACACTCTCGACCCGTCCTTTCAGACATTTTCAGATACTCATCTGATGCGTATGCGGTGATGCCGTATGCCAATTGTCTAAGAGCGGGCGTACATTTTTGTATCATAGTAAAACCGCGTTTACCTCTAGCATCCCATCGTAATTGAAAAAAAATTCATAATTAGGTGTCAAATCTCTAGCTATACGTAAAAATAAATTTCTACTAATACGAAAACATTTTTTGAATTTTGATAGATCATATAAACTATCAACGACAAGATAATCATGTACCAAAAGTTCATATGTCGACTCTCGATCCCGGTTGATACATTTTCTATGCCTTTTCTCCACGTTTGAACTTTCGCCCCTCTCACGCACCATGTCTCGTGTCGCGGATAACAACGTATACAAAATAAAATCGTCATCGAAATCGTTATCATCGGAAGACGAAAAAACTGGAGGTGGAAAATTATCCATTTTTTGGTTTGATGTGTGTGTGTTTGTTTTGAAAAAATGTGGGTGTGGGTTAGTGGAGATTGTGAATAAAGTGGATGTATATATAGAGAATTTGAACAAATAAAAAAAAAAGTTTTTTTTTTTTGTTAATGGATATAACGGTCGATTGTAACATTCGGAAATTTATTGGCCAATCAAATAGCTCGTCTTCGTCCGTCTTCTGCCTCACGCCACACGCAGCCCACCGGACTTGGGGGCGGTGTTCATGTGTGGGAGAGGGTGCCACCTTAGCCTAAGACGCGTGAAGAAGCCCCCATACCGGGTAGCCTTATCCTCCTCTTCTCATCTTTACCCGACGGTGCAAAGAAAAGGGAAAAAGATACAAACGACGACATCGTCTCTCTGACCTCACCTCTATCTTCGGTCAGCGCTCTAGTCGGTCATTCCACCTCCGCCTACACACTAAACGATGCAATCCATAGTGCGGAGGAAGTTCGAACCACATCATTGTTTTCCATCTCCGGCGATAATTCCAGCCGACCACTCCACCTCTGGCCACACAAGACGGCGACGACTTCACCTCCGTTCACTCCTTCAACCGACGATTCCATCTCTGGTCCGATTTTGAACTCTATCTTTGCTTCGATTATATTACTTTCAACCACTTGGGTTGTGGTGACTTGGTAAGGCATGTGGAAGATATGGTGGATAACATATTGACCCATGTTCAAATCCTAGCACCACTCAGCCCTTATGGCCATGGAGGTTCGCCTGCAGTGACTCCAGGGCATGAAACAAAGCTTTATGTTTGCAGCGGGGGATTAGTCGGTGCGCGAAAGCTGGCCCGGAAACCCTCGTTAGGGAAGTTCCCTTTCCAAAAAAAAAAAGAATACATATTTTGGAAATTTCATCTTCATTCGACTAGGTTTTCGCTTGATTAAGTTACAATTTTGAACTTTCTTGTCTGCATTTGTAAGCAACTGTGGTTTTCACTTGATTAAGTTACAATTTTAAACTTTCTTGTCTGCATTTGTAAGCTACTGTCGAAATTACATTGAACTTGCTTAGGTTAGTTTTCTGAATTTTAGTTTGAGTTCCTCATTATATATTATTACTAATATTATTTTTTGATTGTTGATCTTATCTGATGTTGATTTTTGATTAGCGATGTTGCTTTTTCACATGCATATAGGTTGTTGTTTTGCTTGATTTCTGATTATGTACTACTGATGATATCATTGAAATCTACATATTGCTAATGTTTTTTGATTCCTTCAATGTATGTTTCTAGTTTCTGGTTATAATTGATGGTATGTTTAAACTGTTTTCAAATTCAAAGCGCTTACATAAAAAAAAATGTCGTTCGTGCTCAACGGGACTACAAAATAGAATTGACATTAAAAAGGAGGAAATTGCAACCTTTGTGGAATTTCTAAGCAATGTGGAATTTGTACCTAAAAATTGGTTTTTATTTTAAGATGATGTTTGTTGGTTTTATTTTAAGATGATGTTTGTTGGTTTAAATTACGAATTTATTGTTGGTTTACAGTTAGATAAATTGTTGGTTATAATCGATAGGAAAAAGTGACAAACATTATTAGCAAAAAGTTACAATAAACTCATATATATATATATATATATATATATATATATATATATATATATATATATATATATATATATATATATATATATATATATATAGGTAAAGTGAATATACCTAACAACTTTATATAAGCTTAGGTACCTAACCTCATCAAACTACATCATTTTGCATTAAATTTTCATTGCAATCATCCAAGGTTCTTAAACTTCATCCCTAAACTTGATTTACTTCAAAAAGATTTGGAAATTCATCATTATATTTCTCCTACATCCTTTAATTTGTAGCGGTAGGATATGAAACCCATTAGGTGGTATTCGATAGAAAGATGTGATGTAAAAGAAAGATATTGTTGAAAGTCCAAAGATTTTGGAAGTAATCAAGTTATAGGGTTGAAATTTAAGAACCTTACCCAACGAAGTTACCTAAGCTTATATAAGAAAAAACGCAGCCTCCATTTTCTCCGTATCTTCGCCAGACAAGAAAAAACGCAGCCTCCATTTTCTCTCGTTGCCTCCTCAGGCGATTTCCGATTCCTTGCCGTCGATTGCTCGCCGCCGACTTCCATCATCGGATACCGTCGCACCCACAACACCGGAGACCGTCGCACACAACAGATACGATTCAGGTACGATTTTCTTCATCTTTTTCTGCTTTCGTTCAACTGCATTTTGCTGCTCTCGATTTTCCTTTTTCCCCTGATTTCAGTTGAAATCGAAATCTGTATGATGTCTGCTAAATTTAGATGTATGTGTTCAATTTCTACTGTTTTCGTTCAAACTCCATTTTGACTGTTCTCGATTATATTCCCCCCCCCCGATTTCAGTAAAGTCGAAATCATATGTGTTTGTTGCCTGCTGTCACTGCAATGTTGTATCAGTTCAATTGCTGTCTACTGGTCATAACTGTTAAATAAGCTTTGCCAAACATAAAATCGTCTCTTTTCTGAACTCAGGTTCTTCCTTCTCCTCTTTTCCGAAATGGATTTTTCTTTGTTCATTTGTAAAACTGCATATGTTAATGAATGCAGTGACATTATATGGTTCCGCTAAATCTTGGATTCGATCATTTACTTTCATCGGATTATGCCTGTTTTTGGATTGCAACTGGGCAGTGAACCGATTGAACGCACGCCATGTGTTCGATGAAAGTCCAATTATGATTTTCTTTCACCATTTTGCTTTCTGTGTTTTTGAACAATTATCCATTCTCTCCATTCCGTTTCTCTTCTGTTCTTTATCTATTTCAGAAACTGAGGAGAATACTGAGAATCAAGAATTGAACTTGGTTGTTCCTGCAGTCTCTGAGTATGACAGTGTTAAAGAGATACGTGCTAAGGTTATTCATGTCATTGAAATACGTTACTGCAAACATAGTGGACAGAAACAATGGCAGAATAGTTGCAACAGCTTCAACAGTTGAACAATCCATAAAAACCTCACTTGAATGTGGTAGAACATGTAATGCCAAAGCTGCAACAGTTGTGGGTGAGGTGTTGGCTATGAGGCTAAAGGTAGAAGGTCTTGAATCTGGTCAAGGAAGAGGCATTCATGTAGATGTCAACAAAGAACTTGAGAAAAAAGATTTTAAGAACAGAACAAAGGTCTGGGCTGTTATCAATTCCCTCAAGAACAATGGAGTCAAACTCATACTTGATGACACTAATGACACTTCAAAGCCAGCTTATTAAATCTATATTCGTTATTACTCATTTAACTTGTTGATGTTTTGTATGTAACATGGGAAACTGTATTTGGGTTTTGAATGGCATTTTCCATGTCATCTTATAAAGAAAAAGCTAAAATGCCTGTATTTTTTTATAAAATATAAAGTTATATAAAAACAGAATAGAACTTGTGTATTGGCATTTTTGATTTTCCACGTCATCTTATGTATTTGCCTGGGTTCACAGTTGACGAATTGAAATTCTGTTTGACAGCTCTAGTTATCGTTGATTGCATTAAAGTGCACAAAAAAGTTATAAAATTGGTCACTTACGTTTAATATATGTCGTATGATATCCATGTCATTTTCCCATTATATGTGTATAATTGTTTTTATGCATTACTATTATCAAGTTATAGAACATGTTCTATTAGGCTTTTTATGCCTAAGTTTTTCTCTTTCGATATGTATGTGAGGTAAGATATGATGAACTTAGCTTGAAGAGTTATGAGATATTTTTTATGTTGATGAAAACATGGAAGGATATAATTCCGTGATGTTTATAACTAGACATTTATTTTGTATTGGATTATGAATTGTAGTTGGTAACGGACAGAGAGGTTTTAGACATTGTTCTAACTTAACGAGGATTAGTATCTGTTTATATGGATTAAATTTTATTTATGTAAGATTTATATTGAAAAACATTCATACATTTGAGAGGTGTTAGGTTGTGGGGTGTGTAAAGGGTGAACACCACAGTGAGGTTGAATAATAATAAAAAAAGTTAAACACCATACAAAATCCAAATTAATATAAATCAAAATTTATTTTCATTACTCTCTAATGATCTATTGAGATCAATTTACAAAAATAACAGTCACTTTTTTTTTTTTTTTTTTTTTTTTTTTTTTTTTTTTTTTATGTTCCAAGGGTTTCAAAGCTAAAATACAACATATTTGACATTGAAGGTCAAAAATTTTTCCATGAGTTATGAGCTTTGGTCTTTTAAGATTGGGCATACTTTAATTTGAGCTTTAAGTCTTCAATATATCTGTATCGAGCTAATGTTTAGAAATAAATGACAACCAACTTTGACAACTTCAGAAAAATAAGCTTGCAAAATCTTCATCTGTTTCACCTGAAAATCCAATAAAAAAATAATTTATTAACACTCCATGTATAAAAAATTGTTTGTATCTCATTCAAAATCAAATGTTCATCGTAAGTTGCATTACAAAACATACCACTCAACAACACATGGGGTATTAAAACAAAGAAGAAAGGCATGATCTAGAAAGCTTATAACATCCAACCTTAATGTATCATGTATAAAAGAAGTATCAAGTGTTAACAAAACATCATTAAAAGAAAACTTCATAACCTTCCTAATTTGTGTTTATCCACACAAACCTCATCAAACTACTTGACATGAACACCATAGATTTTGCGTTGTTGTTATTCTGTGCAAATGCTTTACATATAGGCATTCCTTCAACAAAAATTCATCCATCATAGATTTTGAACTAGATTTACTCCAATTTATAAAATAAAATAGTAATTATCCCTAAAATCAGTCGATGTATCTTGATAAAGTGGTCAGACCATATGAATCATGGCCTGCTGATAATCGACTTCAGGGTAAAAAAGAGCAAATCAATGTATAAGAATCGATTTTCAGGAGTAAAAGAAAAGAAAAGGATTACCTACAAACGCATATTAGAATCGCTGGCGAAGGAAGCGAAGCCGGCAACGACATATTTGTCGGAGAAGGGTGTGAGGGTTGACGGAGGAACTTGGTGGAGGACGTTCAAGGGTTGGTGATGGAGGTGACCTAGAGGGAGATGGTCAGAGATGTGAACGATGTGGAGAATTGGAGACGGCCGAAGAAGCAAGTGCTGCGGAGGAGAAGAGGGAACGCGTGTTTAGGTCGGGGCATATTAGGAAGCGTGTCAAACAAAAAAAATTCAGACATGGGTTTACATCTGATTCGGTCAGATCTCTTTTTGGAATTCAGATAATAAATTAAGTTGCTACCAAATGATCTGAATTTTATAAATTCAGACGTATCTCTTTTTAAGAAGCATTAAGACCTAAACAAACAGGGCCTAAGGATAATTATTGAAACTCCTACGTAATTGGTCTATGGTTTCACCTACCGGTTTGGTGTGTTTGCACGTGTGTGTGTGTGTGTGTGTGTGTATATATATATATATATATATATATATATATATATATATATATAAGTTGTGTTTTATTTATTTTCGATTACAACCATATCTGTATATGATTACAAATGTGTTTTATTCATATAGCCTATTATAAATATTCAGATGAAATGAATTTTGTTTGTTTTTTTTCAATTTTTTTGATATTTGATTGATAATAAAAAAACAAAAAACAATTTTTTACAGAAAAACCATATTAAATGACAATTTTATTAGTTTTTGAAAATTTTAAAAATAAATCTGTATTTAAAAAAATCAATAAATAAAAGAGAAAAGTGAATATACCCTTAAGGGTATATAAACTTAGGTACTCAAAGTTACCATACTATGTTGTTTATATTATATGTATACATTGTAATTGTTCAATGTTCTTATAATTCAACTTCTAACTTGATTTACTTTTAAGTTTTTATAAATTTCACATTTATCTTCCTCTTACATAATTTTCATTTTCAACTCTAATATATATAACCTAATAGGTGTTCGGAAAAAAAATTATATAAGATGAAAACAATAGTGAAATTTTGAAAATTTTCAAAGTAAATCAAATTAAGGATGAATTTTAATAATATTATAATGAATATATCAAACAAAACAACTAATTATAGTGAGTTTGGGTACCTGAGCTTATATACCTTTAATGGTATATTCACTTTTCCCTAAATAAAATTATATCATATGATTATAGGAATAAATTAATTACTCTTTATTTACATACTTCGTTACACTCCAAATTTTTTTTTGTTGGATGACGAATGGTTTGCGAAGAAATTACAAGACTAATTGAAGATGGTAGTGCTACAATTCATTTTGTATAAACAGAAGAATTGTAGTTTTAGGGTACTATAGAATTCATATATACGGTTTGTAACATTCAAATGTTAAAGATTTGTGTAAATTGAAATTATTAAGTGGAATAGTATTCCAAGGTTAAACATTTATGTAAAAGTCAAACATATATGGTCATTTTTAGTAATTTGTACAAATAGTGAGATGCCTAATAACAATATAGTTTTAGTCAGAGACAAAGGCATGAGATGCGTAATCAAACAATATAGTTTAGTTAGAGATAGAGGTAAATAAATACAATCAGAACTTTAAATCCAATCAAGTCTTAATTCAGTAAATTCAGTAAGTAATTATCAAACAACTAACTATTTTTAGTTTTTATGTTTTCAAACTTTTGGTGATATGGATTGAATCTCTCTCTCTTTATATATATATATATATATATATATATATATATATATATATATATATATATATATATATATATATATATATATATATATATATATATATAATGATGCAATTTTGGAAGTGTTGGAGGTTGCTTCTGAGATAGGATTCCCTGTCATATTTTGCGTCAAAATATTTTATTCGTTGTGAAACATAATTTATATTAAATCAAAGATTTTATTGTTATTTAATAGTTTGCAATATTCTTATATTACAAACAATAACAATTATGTAATATAAGTCTATAATGTCTTGTAGGTTGATGATTTGGGTTAACTTTTAAAAAGATGATAAGGAATATAATATAGGTTGGATTATTATTAATGTTTTTCAAAAAACTAGTGGGTTTGTAACTTGAGGCTATTTTAGTATAGTCTTACTTATTCAAATTTATGTTTTTAGGTGAAATTAAAATTTAGAATTTTAGTATAGAAATTTAGTCTTGTTTAACTTGGTTTTGTTCGATCTTGTTTATGTATCGTGTGTGTCTATATATATATATATATATATATATATATATATATATATATATATATATATATATATATATATATATTCATCGAATTTTTATAAAAACTGCGATTCTTTATAAAAAAAAAATTCAAAAAAAAGTTTTGTGATCTCTAAGTATTTTTTTTATGCATTTTTATGATTTTTAGGGTTTTTTTTACGGTTTTTTGTTTTCCATAGAACCTAAACCTATAAGCTTAGGTACCCAAACTTACAATATTATATCATTTTGTATCATATATATACATTATAATTGTCCAATGTTCTTATAATTCAACTTATAACTTTATTTACTTCCAAGATTTGTATAAATTTCATATTTATCTCCCTCTTACATATTTTTCATTTTCAACTATAATATATATAACATAGTAGGTGTTCGGTAAAAAAGATGTGATGTAGCAGGAAGATAATAGTGAAATTTCGAAAATCTTGATTGTAAGTCAAGTTAGGAATTGATGTTAAAGAATATTATAATGAATATAGAAAACAAAATGACGTATTATGATGGGTTTGGGTACCTAAGCTTGTATACCCTTAAGGGTATATTCACTTTTCCCATATATATATATATATATATATATATATATATATATATATATATATATATATATATATATATATATATATATATATATATATACACACACACGTTGTTTTGTTTGATATATTTAGTATAATGTTCTTCAACTTCAATCCTTAACTTGATTGACTTTCAAGATTTTCAAAATTTCATTATTATTTTCCTCTTACATCACATCTTTTTGATGACCATCAATTAGGCTATATATATTATAGTTGAAAACGAAAATTATGTAAGAGAAAAATAAATGTGAAATTTATAAAAATCTTTTAATGAAATCAAGTTAGAAGTTGAATTATAAGAACATTAGACAATTACAATGTATATATATGATACAAAACGACGTAGTATGGTGAGTTTGGGTACCTAAGTATATATACACTTAAGGGTATATTCACTTTCCCATATATATATATATACGGGTTTATGGTTAGAAGTTAGTATCATGAAATCGTAACGCTTAGATTAAAACTCAAGACCTCCAATCTAAGAGACAAAACCTCAACCAAGTGGGCTAGTCCCACATCGACTATGTATTGTGTATAAATAATCATTGAAAAAATAAACAAAGAAATATTACGATCAACCAAACCCGATTGGTGTATATTTCTTATCCATGCCAACGGGGGACAAATACCCGATGAAAATTTCTTAGGCTACTAGGTGTGGACATCATTATCCTATTCATACTTTGGTGTTATAACATAAAATATAAAAATGAGCAACACCAAATAACATATAATGACACCCCTTATTTTCTATATATATATATATATATATATATATATA